AATTCTGAGAGTTGAAGTCCACCCATCTTAAAATGGCTGAGGTTGAGGAACCCTGGCCTAGAGGACAGTGATGGAATAGCTGAACAGAACAACTACTGCTTTGGGCAATTAATCTCACCTGTAGGCTGAATGATGCAGGCAGGGTGAGTTGGTTTTGTTGCAGCTGCCACAGAAACCATGGAAAGCAACTGCTCATTTTTCCCCTCTTCTGCTTGCTGGGAACCCTCTGGGAAAATTTCCCCAGGAGAAATTGTGCTCCTTGCAGCCCTCTCCTCTATCCCAAAGGTGAGTTCAGATTTCTGATCTTGATGCTGAGATTCCTCTTGAGGTAGCTCTTCCTCTGTATTTCTTCCCATAAAGTTTTCACAGAACAGCTTCTCTGGGTAGTTTATGGTATCTGGACAGAAGACAGATTCCAAAACTGAAAACTTACACAACAGCACACACTAAAAGGAAATTTCAAAGACTGGAATATTTTCATCCCTGAGCCCTTTAATAGGGACTGCCTTAAATGGTGCATTAGTGCAGCCCTAGGATGTCATGGGACAGGTATAAGACAGTAGTGGCTGTTAAAATTTTGCATGTAATCTTCTCCCACCAGTCTGGGAATTCTTTTCCTACTCTTTGTGTATGGAAACTCTGCAAACATCACTGAAAGAAGAAGCTGCTGAGTATCCCCCCTTTTGCTCAAAACCTAGAGAAAGTCAAAAGTAGAAACCCTAGTAGATACCAGAGTCTCACACACAGAATACAAGTTCATGAACATGAGAATTTCACACTCCCAATAAGCACCCACCCAGCACCCCTCTTTCTTGCTCTGTGATGTCAAGAAGATGTATAGTACAAGAGAAAAGGTAGTGAGGAAAATCAAACAGAAGGCTGACCATTCAATCATCATTAACTGGAACCAAAACAGCATTGATCACACTCTTGGAGGATCTCTGGTGGCAGCGGGATGGGGATGGTGCATCCCTCCTCACTCTTCTTGACCTCTTAGTGGCTTTCGATACCATTGATCATGGTACCCTTCTGAACTGGCTCTGGGAGTTGGAGATGAGCGGCATGGTGTTGTGCTGGTTCTCTTCCTTCCTCCAGGGTTGGTTCCAGTCAGTGCTGATGGGGGTGCAGATCCTACTGGCGGCCCCTCCTTTGCAAGGGGCCACAGGATTCAGTACTCTCTCCCCTCCTGTTTAACATCTCCCCTCCAACAGTTTGGGGGGAGGTATCATCAGTACGGTGATGATACCCAGCTTTACAGCTCCACCCTAGGCCACCTGAGTGATGTTTTGGAGGTTCTGTGGGGGACCTGGATGGAGTGCAACAGACTTCAGCAAAACCCAAGGAAGACCGAGTGGCTCTGGGGTTTTGAATCTCTTGGTTCCGGGGACCTTCCATCCTTGCTTCTGGATGGGGTGGCACCGCTCCAGACAGACCTGGTGCGCAATCTGGGGGTCCTCCTGGATCTGCTGCCCCTGCTCAAAGAGCAAGTGGCAGCTGTGGCTAGGAGGATCTTTGCACAACTTCAGGTTATATGTCGGTTGTGCCTGTTCCTGGACTGGGGGGCCCTGCTCAAAGTCACACATGCCCTTGTGACCTCCAGACTGGACTACTGCGATGTGCTTTACATGGAGCTACTCTTGAAGAGTATTCAGCAGCTCCAACTGGTGCAGAATGCAGCAGCATGGGCAGTTACTGATGTCAGTGTGACACCACTGCTTCATGAGCTGCCTTGGCTTCCAGGTGCAATTCAAGGTGCTGGTTGTCATCTTTAAAGCTCTTCATGGCTTAGGACTGGGTTACTTATGGGACCATCTCTCCCCAATTGTTTCTATCCAAACTGCCAGGAAGGGCATGTTCCAGGTATTGTCAGCTAGAGAGTGTTGGCTGATGGGGCCCAGGAAAACCTTTTCTGCTATGGCACCTGCCCTTTGGAACATTATCCCCCTGAGATTAGATAGGCCCTGTCCCTGTTGGCCTTTTGTAAGGCTTTGAAAACTTGGCTTTATGCCCAAGCTTAGGGCCCTGGGTGTGGGAGAGAGCCCATCTCCTGGCTGTATGGAAGATTGGTTAGATAATGCCCGGCTGCTCTGTGTTTTATTTTTATTTTCATATTATGTGTTTTATGTATGCATTAAGCCACCCAGAGTCACATAAAAGTGAGATGAGTGGCTATATAAATCAAATAAATAAACAAACAAATGTAGGGTGAAAATTATCAAACGTGTTCACACAAAATGCTCATCATTGGTTAATTTAACTCATTGTTTTTGGTTTGCCTGACACATTAATCCATAAACTAACCACACCACTGGATTCATACAACATGCTAGGCTAAAATATGGTTAGTTTACTATTATTAGATTTTTATTCTGCATTTGGTCAATGCAAGGCAGTGTTAATACCTAATGCTCCCACCTCCTATTTCCTCACAACAACAACCCAGTGAGGTTGGTTGAGCTGAGAGACAGCGACTACCCCAAAGTCACCTAGCAGGCTTTCATGCCTAAGGGATGACTAGAACTTACAATCTCCTGCTTTCCAGTCCAGTTTATAGTTTGGAAAACTGTATTAAGACAGCTGAGATATAAGGGCACGCCATCAAGTGAATAGTAGACCCACCAGCACATTTATGGGAACAATGTTTTTTTTTAATTCATCCAGCTCAGCAAAGAGAAACAACAGCAAGCCTGGGAAAGTATGAGACTTTCCACATAGCAGTCCTCAGATTTAAAAGCAGATTAAGCCAGAAATATATCCCCACTTACCAGCTAACACAGCTTTTAGAGGGGTGCGTGAAATTCCTGGAGTTGGGGAACGAGGATCCCAGTTGTCATGTTGGCTTTTGGCTACCAAGTCCTTCTCTTTTGGAAAAGGTGTACTGTCTTTGGGGGAATTTTCTACCTAAAAACAAAGAAGAGTTTGGCTCAGCCTGTGCAAACAAAGTTAAAACAGCAGATCTATGGGAAAGGGAAGACGAAAAAGCAAGTCCTTCGGCCTGAAAGACAGGCTTCCAAGTCCCTGTACCTCAATGGGTGTTCTCAGGATCCCAGCGGTAGGTGATCTTGGGTCGCTGATGTGTCTCAGGTGTTTATTCAGCAAAGGTGTGCAGGTGGGCGTAGCTGGGAAACTCTCAGAAGCCCCCATGACAACTGTTAGGGAACGCAGGAATCCTGCAGAAACAAGAATCAGCCCGAAGTCTTACAATCCAAGGAAAAAGACAGCAAGACGCAGTGGAAGCCCCTGTTGTAGCAACTCAGACACTCTTCTACCTCTAGGGAGCAGCCATAAATTCGTCTCAACAACCTGCCCTCCTTCTTCCCACTCAATGCAAGCTTACATCCCCCGCAAAGCCACTCTCTCGCCTTTGTTGGACTCGCCCCAAGTTCACGCTCGCTTGGGCCGACTAGTGGTGATTCGAATCTCCCGCCTTCCCCCACCAGTCCCTCTACGACAGCCCTGATTGGAGCGAGTGGCTGCCAATCGCTCAGGCGGCTCTTCAGAAACTCTTTTCCCATGCTCATTTGAAAACGCGACATCCCGTTTGGTACCTTTCTGTCTCCCTGTCTTCTTTCAATTGGCTGGAAAGTAATTTCAGCTCCTCTATCTGATTTCTTATTGGATTATAATGCTGTCAATCCATTGGAAGGCCGAAACCACCGGCGTTACCTTATTGGCTAGTTCAGACAAATACAAACGCCCATCTCCCAACTTCTCATTTCGAAGACTAATAACATTGGGGCGGAGCTAAGAACATATCCAACGTTTCCATTTGCAGAACGGTTACCTACAATTCTGATTGGCTACAACGGCTGTCCATTTAAGAATAGACAGTGGAAGGACAAATCAAACAAAAATACCTTGCGTCCCTGAGGGTTTAAAGAGTAAACGCCTCCTTCCCTTTGTGTCCCCATTCATTGGCTGGAAAACCTTAGTGTATGTTGTCCTCTGATTGGTAGGGATTGACTGTGGGCGGTGTTGGAGAAAGCAGCTGTCATGGCGGAGCTGAGTGAGGCGCTACTTTCTGTGCTACCGTCTATCCGGGTGCCCAAGGCCGGGGACCGCGTCCATAAGGATGAGTGCGCCTTCTCTTTCGACACTCCGGTAAGGTCTCGTGTGAGAAAGACGGGATCTGGTGGGGATTCTGTTGTCTTCACAGTCTCCGACATACCGGGCGGGGAAGGTAATATGACCCGCGCAAGGCCTCACGGGACTTGTATTTTTCCAAGGAACGGCATCCACTTCAAATCCCCCATAAGGAACCAAGGTAACACTACAAATCCCAAGAGTTTCAGCGGCCAAATCGTTCTTTCGAAAAATACTTTGCTTTCTGGGGATTGTAGTTCTTCGGGATCACATCTCAAGAGGCCGGGCGGTGCTCTCATAGTCATCTTATTCCCTGGCCCGTATGCCTAGCCGTAGGGTCTCTCGGATACTGAGCTTTACTGTCCCATGATAGGGTAGCTTAAGTAGCACAAGGCGAGAGCAGCGTATGGCATGTTGGGCACTGTAGTTTTAGAGCCTGGCTCCCACTATGAGAATCTGCGAAAGGTTGTGCCCCGCCGCACTACTGAAGTCTCTGGAACTATCCAGGCATGCCTCGCGGAGCATGATGGGAAACGAAGTCCCTCTCCCGTTAGCTTCAGTGCCAGACCTTGCTCTCAGGAACTCCGAATCCCAAAGCCCTTTGGTGGAAGGGATGTGTCAGCCCTCTTGGTTTCGAATCACACATGAGCTGTACCATCTCGGTACCTCTCCATCTCCCGATTGTTCTTGTCTGCTTCTAATTTCAGGTTGTGTTATGAGTTCCCCACCCGGTTTCTTCTAATGTGTATGTGGGAATTGCTCCCATTGTTATGGGTAATGCTAGTGTATATAGCTGGTGTCCCCTGGCTGGGAGAGAAGCAATTCGGGACAGCCACGCCTTTCCCGAGGATGAAGCAAGCACGCTTGGTTAGGCTTCACACGAGTTTTAACGGAGGTTCACAGAGATTCATAAATGTGTGTGTATTTAGCAAATTTATATAGCCGCCCATCTCACCAAAAGCGACTCTGGGTGGTGTACAACAGTCAGATAAAAACACATACATAGAAACAACATAAAAAATATAAAAACCACATTAATAAATATCATAAAAACCAAGATACAAACCAGAGGGGAGGGAGAATAAAAATGGCCTTGCCAGTTTGCTTGGCTTGCTGATTCATTTATTCCTACTCTGCCTTTCTCCTAAGTCCTCTGTCATCCGTGAAGACAGCTGCCTTTTTCTTTTCTGGATATGAAGAGTGCAGAAACATCCTGTTTGTTGGGGGAGGGTTACCTTTCACAGAGTTCAGTATTAATTAGAATTCTGCTATCAGGATCAGTTGAGGGCACTGAATGGATTTTCTTTCCAGATAATAATTTTAAAACATTGATTGCTCCCTTTTTTGTTTTCTTTTGAAGTAGGCTGATCATTTGTCCTGTGGATTCAACGTGTCAGAGAGAGAGTGTATATTTTATGAACATTCACAATTTATATGGGGGCACTATAAATTCCTCTTGATAATATATACACAACAATGCTAGTTAGGAAAAGAGGAACATTTTCCTGCAAGAGTATGATGTTTTGACAACCCTACAATAGAAGTGCTGCTTTTATTAGAAATTTCTGCAACCTTCAAACCTATAACAAACACAATTTGTTAAAAGGTAGTGTAAGGAAGATAATGATTTAGAGTAATTTCTTACAAGTGATAGGATCCTGCCTACCAGTTGGAGTGCTTCTGGTATAACTATAATATAGTCATAGTAATGCTGTATGCTCACAATCTATCCAAAGCAACTCTGATTTTGATTTAAAACAGTAAACAATCACCTCTTTTAAGGGACTAGGTGTATGCTCTTACAGAGGCAACCATATTTATTTTTAATTGAAGTTATTGTGTACCATAGTTCTGTTTAGCACAGGCATAGGTAGTGTGATGCCTGTGAACATTTTTCTTGCTACCTACCAGGTTCACTGATCTGTCTTGCCATTTTTCCTTCCAGGTGTCTTTTAATTAAAATGTATGGCAATGTCTCATACTGCTTTTATTTAAAGAAGTGCCTTTGGGTCTCACATGAACTTCATATGGAATTAGAAATGGTGGATGGCTCCCGCAGACCAGTGTCTAGTTTGGAAGGGAGTCCAATTGCTGAGGGGAAAAAAACAGACAAAAAATGGAGGAGTAGGGACCATGCTGAACAGAAGAGCAGGTTGCTTCAGAAGTGTGGGTGTTTTAAGATTAGCAGTGCCCACCATAGTAGCTTTTATGCTAGTGTGTGAATACTTCCTATGTTGTTATTTTGTGAGAGCATATGTGATACACCAGGGGTCCCCAGCCCCCAAGCTGCAGACCAGTACCGGTCCGTGGCCTGTTAGGAACTGGGCCACACAGGAGGTGAGCGGCAGGCGAGCAAGTGAAGCTTCATCTGTATTTACAGCCGCTCCCCATCACTCGCATTCCCGCCTGAGCTCCGTCTCCTGTCAGATCAGCGGCAGCATTAGATTCTCATAGGAGCGCCAACCCTACTGTGAATTGCGCATGCGAGGGATCTAGGTTGAATGCGCCTTGTGCGAATCTAATGCCTGATGATCTGAGGTGGAGCTGAGGCGGGGATGCTAGCACTGGGGAGTGGCTGCAAATACAGATTATCATTAGCAGAGAGGTTCGACTGCACAGTGCCCGTAAAAAATCATTCCCTTGCAGACTCATATAAAACCACTATCATGTAATGTGCTTGAATCATCCCGAAACTATCCCCACCCCGGTCCGTGGAAAAATTGTCTTCCGCG